GAAGTGGCGCTGTGGCTCAAGTGGTAGAGCACTATCCTTGAGCTGAAGAGCTGAAGGACAGCGCCCAGGCCCAGAGTTCAAGCCCCACGACCGACAAAAAAAAAAAAAAAAAAGGAGCAGGGACAGTCTGTTAACCAACCCATCCACAGCCCCTTTCATTTCAATAAGGCTCACTGAAAGTCTGACATGAAGCTCCCTCCATTCTAAAGCCTGGCAAAAGCGAAAGAAACGTTTCCACTAACAACCTCAAAATGCATGCAGTTAACACTGGCATATTTTGTTTTTATTTTTGTGGTGTTAAGGATGGAACTCAGAGGCTCCCAAATGCTATGGGCAAGTGTTCTACCACTGTAATACACCCTCAGCACTGGAAGGTTAATATTCTTTTTTTTTTTCTTTTGGTCAGTCCAGGGTCTTGAACTCTGGGCTTGGGCACTGTTCCAGTTTTTTCGCTTAAGGAGAGCATTCTACCACTTGAGCCACAGCACCACTTCTGGTTTTCTGATGGTTAATTGGAGATCAGTCTCATGGACTTTCCTGTCTGGGCTGGCTTCAAACTATGATCCTCAGATCTCAGCCTCCTGGGCAGCTAGGATTGCAGGTATGAGCCACCAGCACCCAGCTAGGTTAATATTCCTTATGTAAAAGATTTAAAGATATTCCAGAGGACTACAATGAAATAATCAAGTTAATGAGATTTAATCTAAGGAGAATGGAATGAAAACTTTATTGAGAGCAAAGATACAATCTTCCTTAGCTACCAATTCCCTAAGGACATTCAAAAATATAGCTATTATTCCTGAAGGCAGGAATAAACCCAATCCTCTTTTGGGTCCTCATCTAATAGCTCCTTCCTCAACTAAATATTAAGAGAGCTAAATTGTTAGTTAGTGCTAGAGATCAAATGCAGGACCTCCCAGACAAGGTAAACACATTCACCACAGCCCCAGCCCTAGCTTTTCTTTACTTGTATACTGTTTTTATTCAAGCAGAATTTCTCTATGCTCTCCATACTAATCTTGAATTTCTTGACTTCTCCCACCTAGCTGGGACTTTAGGAAGCTCTTAGTGCTAGATTTTTTAGTTAGCAAGAAAAGTAATAGGAGACTACAGCCTGAGAATCACAAGTTTGAAGTCAGCTTGGGCTGCATATGTAGTTCCAGCTCAGCCTGGGCACGTTACTGTTTCAAAAAAATAGGAGAGGGGGGAGATGGGAGGGAGGAAGGAAAGAAGGAAGGAAGGAAGGAAGGAAGGAAGGAAGGAAGGAAGGAAGGAAGGAAGGAAGGGAGGGAGGTGGGGAGGGAGGGAGGGAGGGAGGAAGGGAGGGGAGGGAGGGAGAAAAAAAAGAAAGCGTTAGAACGAGCCAAGTGTTAGTTGCTCAGGCCTATAATTCTTATTACTCAGGAGGCTGAGGTCTGAGAATCGAGGTTTAATTTCAGACCTGGATAAAAGTCCATGAGACTCAACTCTAATTAACCAGCAAAAAGCTAGGAGTGGAGGTTTGGCAAGTAGTAGCATACCAGCCTTGAGCACAGAAACCAAGCCAAGCAAGGTCCTAAGTTCAACAGTACTGGCACAAAAGGGCAGGGGGATGGGAGAATCAGGAGGGAGGGAGAGAAGAAAGAAGGAAAATTTTAAAAAGGAAAGGAAAGGCAATGTGAACTCTCCTAGATCCCTACTTCTGGGATTCTCAGGCTCATACAGACCCTTATCATATAGTATTACAGAGATACTCAAGGCCAGAGACTACTATTGCAGGAAAAGCTGACCAAATCTGCATTTGTTATCAAAGGTTAAATTAGGACTGATTGTATAAATTATAATCAGACTTGCTTAAAGTACAAATTAAGCTGGCACAGGTGGCTTACACTTATAATCCTACCTACTCAGGAGACTGAGATCTAAGGATCAAAGTTTGAAGCCAGCTTGGACAAGCAGCAAGATGGAGTTGTGCCTCAAGTGGTAGAGCACTAACCTTGAGCACAAGAAGCTTAGGAACAGAAGCTTAGGAACAGTACCCAAGCCCTGGCACCAAAACAATAATAATTATATTATATTATATATAAGTACATATATTTGTTGTTGTTGTTTTTGTTGTTGTATTACAAGTGTGGTGGCCTGTAATATATACTCCTTGCTACTCTGGAGGCTGAAGCTTGAAGGATCAAAAGTTAAAAACAGCCCAGACAGAAGAGTTCATCTCCAACTATCCAGCAAAACAGCAAGACTGGAGATATAGCCCAAATGGCAGTGTGCCAGCTAGCTGTACCAGAAAATTAAAAACAAAATTCTAGAGTTACTCCTACAGATTAAAAATAATAATAATACTTTTTGCTGGGTGCTGATGGCTCACGCCTGTAATCCTAGCTACTCAGGAGTCTGAGATCTGAGGATCGCAGTTCAAAGCCAGCCCGGGCAGGAAAGCCTGTGAGACTCTTCTCTCCAACTAACCACGAGAAAACTGGAAGTGGCCCTGTGGCTCAAATGGTAGAGTGCTCACCTTGAGCTGAAGAACTGAGGGACAACGCCCAGACCCAGAGTTCAAGCCCCACAACCAATCAAAAAAAAAAATTACTGCTAGAAGTATAACTCAATGTAACACCTGGCCTAGCACTTAGCAAGTACTAGGAATTTGCATCACAGCAAAACAAACAAATGAAAAAACAAGTTTAAAATACTTTTGAAGGGGCTCCAAAGACCTATGGCTCTGTTACATGTGTGGACCTTGACCTTTTTCTCCTGCTTTCCCTGCCTGCTTCTGCTTTCCTTCTCTGCCTATTCCTTTCTTTCTCCCTTTGCCCTTTAGGGAGCTAACAGTACCATACACTTACCCAGAAACTCTACAACATTCATAGGAATACCCAGAAACTTTCTTCACAGTTCCAGGTAAATTCCATCACACTCTTCTGAAAAGATTAAGATTGCTATCTCCATGATGAAATTGAGATGTAACAAAACTGAACTAAGGAGGCTTCCAGAGCACATTTAATTCAAGCAGAAGCTTGGGTTGGAGCACACCTATAGTCCCAGACACTCATTAGATAGTCTTGAGGCCACGTGGAGGAAAACAGACAAAACTGCATAATACACCAGGCCACCCTCAGAAAAGGAGCTAGGGGATGGGAGGGGATGGGAGTGGGGGGGGCAATACAGCCATAGGTGGTTCCCCACCTATGGTAATAAACCGGTAAAGAAAGAAATGAAGACAGGGGCTGGGAATGTGGCTCAGTGGTAGAGTGCTTGCCTAGCATACTCAGTACCATATAAACAGAAAAAGTTGGAAGGGGTGCTGTGGCTCAAGTGGTAGAATGCTAGCCTTGAGCACAAAGAGGCTCAGCAACAGTGCCTAGGCCCTGAGTTCAAGCACTAGGACTGGCCAAAACAAAAAACAAAAAAAAACAAAAACAAAAAAAAAGCAGAAATAAATGAAGACAGGAACCGGTAATTCTAGCCAATCAGGAAGCTGAGATCTGAAGATGGTGGTTCGAAGCTGTATCTGTGGAGCTCTTATCTCCAATTAACACTAAAGAGCTGTGCTAGAGTGTCAACCTTGATCGAAAAAAGCTAATTGGACACCCAGGCCCTAAGTTCAAGCCAAGGAAAGATGGGGGGTGGGGGGCGGGAGGAGCGGGGGGGCCGGGGGGGGTGGGGGGGAGAGGAGAGGAGAGAAGGAGGGAGTAGGGGAGGGACTGAAGATAACATCACCAAGAGGGGCAGGTAAATAAAATGAAGTGGATGTCTAGCCACCTTTCATTGGCTTCACGAATACCTGCCCAAAGAATACTTTTCTCCATTTGCAACTGGTTAATCGCACTCAATCTGGAGGGAAGGAAGGAGCTGCCAAAAGAAGCGAGTACTTTCGAATAAAGGAGGAATTTGGAATTTGGGCCCCAAAGAACCTCCTGCCTTTCCCTAGACCCATAGGCTGGGGGTTCACGTAGGCAGAGGAGTCTCCCCCGGAGCGGAGTAGGTGGTCAGCCAGGCTGTCCTCTGGCACCCTTAAGACACTGCACACATGGACACAAGTTGCTTTTAGGAGTGGCTCACGCCGCGCAACCGGTCCCCTTCCTTCCTGCTCTGGCGCCGCCAGCGCGACTCCCTTCCCGCGTGCTCCCGCCCGCGCTGGCCGCCCTGCCATGCTCCTGCCCGCGCTGGCCGCCCTGCCATCCTGTCGCCCTGACCCTGACACCAGGCTCCGTGCCAGGCCTCCCGGTATCTCTAAGGCTAACGCTTCCTCCCGGGACTATAGGGGCCCAGAAAGCCAAGTTCCCAGATCTCAGCAACAGCCATTTCCCCTCCCCAGGGTCCTTGAAGATACCCTGGCCCGGTGCCCGCCCTACCGGTCCTCCATGACCAGGCAGATGCTGCTCCCTTCGGCTCGGTGCCGTTCCGCTCCGCTGTGCTGAGCTGCGCGGCGCGGACCTGCTCCACACAGTTAGTGTAGGGGGGGGGGGGGAATCTCCCGGCGCTGCTTTATAGTCCTAGTCCGGGAGCTGTCAGCCAATGGCAGAAGAGCTCGCGGGCCGGCCCTGTCTCCATGGAGACACACCCTGATTCAGCGTCCTCAGGGCCCAGCCGTAAACCCAACCAGAGTTCTTCTACCAGCATGACCCTCGCCCTTCCCCCCAACCCCCCCACCCCCGCATCCAGGCGTGTCCAGCGTTTCATTCTGCGCGAGTTCCGGTTCTCAGGGCTGGGCTTTCCATCCTTGATGGCCCTTGAGGAACAGGGCCAGAAAGGTGCCAAACCTACGAACTGTCTAATCTGCAACGCCAATTCAGGGCGGTGTCTACCGCCAACTCTAAAAAATTTGAAAAGAGAAATGTTCAAACTTTAGATCATGCAACTCTAGAATAAAATGAAATGAGTCACAAAAGAGGGAGTTGGCCTAATCAAAGTACAATAAATATGAGTATGGAAATACCTCGGTGAAAACCCTTGAAACAATAAAGCTATTTTTTAAAAATGAATTGAGCCAAATGAATTGAGCCAGTGTCTGTGTTGCTAGCTCTATACAAAGGAAACAGGGTTGCACTGACAAGAGTGATGGTTTGGAGATCGCAGGATTTGGGGAAACTCATCAGATCCAGATGTGGAGATAAAAGTTCTAGCAAAAGAATTCTTAGGGACTTAGACACAGACAGGATAGTGACAGGTTGCGTAGGTGCACAGTACTGGATTCAAGGAATTCTGAAAACTGGAAAAAGACCCCTGCCAAGAAAAAAGTTGCTGAAATAAAATTACACATTTTTTCTAGAATTACACAATATAACATGTTTGCAGAAATTTAGTTCTTCCTACTCCGACACTTACAAACCTAACCCTATCTCAAGGGTCCTTGCTTAGCTATTGCAATCCTCTGCCTGTTCTCGCTATTAAACTCAGCACTGCCTGGTACTTTACTCACCACCCTGAGTAGAACCAGTTTTCCAGCCCTCTTGCTTGAATTCATTTAACAAATGTTTAATGAACATCAATTACGGGACAGAACTGTTATACTGTGGAGATAAGAGTGAAATAATAGCTGTAGAGCAAAAAATTATCATATAAAGAATTAGGCCCAAGCCAGGTGCCAGTGGACACCTGTAATTCTAGCTACTCAGGAGACTGAGGTTTGACGATTGTGGTTTAAAGCCAGCCCAAGCAGTAAAGTCCAGGAGACTCTTATCTCCAATTAAAGACAAAGACACACACACACACACACACACACACACACGAAAATGAAACCATGGTACTAACCTTGAGCAGAGATAAGAGAGAGCAGCCATGGGCTGGGAAGGTGTGGCTCAGTGGTGTGCCTTGCATGCCAAAGGCCCTGGGTTCGATTCCTCAGCACCACATAAGCAAAATGAAAAAAAGCCAGAAGTGGTGCTGTGGTTCAAGTGGTAAGAGTGCTAGCCTTGAGCTGAAGAGCTGAGGGACAGCACCCAGGCCCAGAGTTCAGGCCCTACAACCGGACCCCCCCCAAAAAAAAAGAGAGCAGCCAGATCCTGAGTTCAAGCCCCAGGACCATTACAAATAATATAAAAATAAATAAATAAAAAGTAAACAAACAAGCTGGATATGTTGGCTCACAGATGTGTAGTTCAAGTTACTCAGGAAGTTGTAGGTGTAAAGATGCTCAGAAAAAAAAATTATCTGAAAAATAGTCTGGGGCATGGCTCAAATGGTAGAACAAGAAGGCCCAGAAATTAAACCCTAGTTCAGAAATTTGTTTTTTCTTTCTTGCTATTGTTTTTAATGTATCTAAAATGTACTACCTGATTTTTTTTTGTTTCTCTTGTATGTTCTTCCCCCACTATATTTTATGGCCATGTCCTGCATCTTGTATATACAGTTTTCTAATTTGGGGAGGGGAAGGGAAATAACAAAATGCTGAAACAAGGATACAGGATGATTCATTGTAACAATGAGATGTACAAGACACTATGTGGAAAAGGAACTTTACAACTTGGGGGGAGGGGGGGAATGGGTGGGGGGGGAGATGGGGAGGGAAGGAATGGTAGGAAAATCAAAGGAGGAGGTAACAATGCTCGATAGGAAATGTACTCATCTTACTCATGTAACTGTAACTCTTCTGTACACTATTTTTACAATAAAAACATAAAAAATAAAATATTTAAAGAGTTAAAAAATATAATCCAGTTTACACAAGACAAGATTACAACTTTACTTTGTCTAAGGACATTCAAATCTAATCAGTTCATTTTAATGGACTCTGCCTAACATAAATGTATGCAAGCCAAAAATAATGATGACTTTGATCTGTTTTCAACATCAGAGTTCAGAGTTCCCAGTTTCTCAGTTCACAGTGTACATATTATCTCAACAATTCTTCATACTACCTCTAGATCAACAGAAATACCTAACTGCTTTTTTTGCTGTTTTGTTTATTTATTTATTTTTTAATGTCTAGCTTTGCTTTTTCAGTTGCTGGTTCCCAACAACTCAGTAACCACTTGGGAGGGGAGAAGGCTGTAGCAATGCTCCATTCTAATATTTGAGAAGTTGTGTGGTGCCCCACAAGTGCATATATCATATTAGTAATTATTGCGGTTATTTAAGAATAAAATTTGGGTTGGGTGCTGGTGGCTCACTCTTGTAATCCTAGCTCCTCCTGAGGATCAAAGTTCAAAGCCATGGGATGGGGGCAGGCAAGTCCGTGAGACTCTAATCTCCAATAAACCACTCAGAAAATGGGAAGTGGCATTGTGGCTCAAGTGGCAGGGCACTAGCCTTGATGACTGGAGGGACAGCGCCCAGGCTCAGAGTTCAAGCCCCATGACCAGCAAAAATAAAATAAAATAAAATAATTTCAGGCACTGGTGGTTCAAGCTACTCAGGAGACTGAGATCTGAGGATCACGGTTCAAAGCCAGCCCAGGGAAGGAAAGTCCATGAGACTCTTATCTCCAAATAACCACCAGAAAACCAGAAGTGGCTCCATGGCTCAAGTGGTAGAGCGCTGACCTTGAGCTGTAGAGCTGAGGGACAGTACCCAGGCCCAGAGTTCAAAAGTAATAATAATAAATAAAATTTAAGGGCTGGGAAGGTGGCTTAGTGATAGAGTGCTTGCCAAGCATGCATGATGCCTTGGGTTCAATTCCTTAGTACCACATAAACAGAAAAAGCTGGAAGTGGTCAAGTGCTAGACTGCTAGCCTTCAGCACAGAAAGACTCAGGGACAATGCTCAGGCCCCAGGACTGGCAAAAAAAAAAAAAAAAGGAATAAAATTTAAAATAGTTTATTTGTTTTCTTTCTTTCTGGAACTAGAGTTTGAACTCAAGGCCTTGTACTATAGATAAACTCTTACCACTTGAGTCCTGTCTCCAATCCTTATTCATTTTACTTATTTGAGGGATAGGTTCATGAAGTTTTCCCTGGGCTGGCCTTGGACTGCAGTCCTTCCAATCTCTACCTCCAAACGGCTAGCATTATAGGTATGAATCACCACACAGCCTTCCCCCCTCCCAAATGGTTTCTTTTTTCTTTTTTTTTGGGTAGGGTCCGGGTTGTGGGGCCTGAACTCTGGGCCTGGGCGCTGTCCCTCAGCTCTTCAACTCAAGGCTAGCGCTCTACCACTTGAGCCACAGCACCACCTCCAGCTTTCTTTTTGCTTATGTGGTGCTAGGGAATCAAACCCAGGGCCTCATGCATGCAAGGCAAGCACTCTCACCACTGAGCCACCTTCCCAGCTCTCTCCCAAATGGTTTCTGATGTACAGAGTGGATACAGTCACTTAACAGCATGTTCTGTGCTGAGTTTTACACAATACTTAGTTCTTATCTAAGGGATCTCCTAAAAACAGCTTTGCAAAGATAAATTGTCATCAAAAGGAATACAATACAATCTAATATTTAAACTATGAATTATCTGAAGCTAATAGTTTACACAGTGTATAGAACAACCAAATATTGTGGTATTTCCCTTGAAATAGAAAAGTATTGGGCGGGGTGGGGGGCAGGGGGGAAGGCTTGGAAGGGATGGGAAGGGGAAACAAAGGAGGAGGCTACAATGCTTGATAAGAAATGTACTCATTATCTTGCCCATGTAATTGTAACCCCTCTGTACAGT